ATCTGGTTGAAGAGATTGAAGAGATGTGTGGACTTCTTTATTAATGACTTTCAGAAATTCCTGCATTGTTACCAGAAATGTGTAATGAATGGTGGTGTTTACACAAAGTATGTGCAAGTATCAAAAGAGCTATGTCAATAATTATTTTCTTGTTTCATATTTTAAAACATCTCTAATTAAAGTTATGGAAGTGGAGGTACTTTTTTCAACTCTCATATATATTTTTAAATAAGAAATGGGGCTTGCTACGAACTGCACTTTTTAAAGTGCATTCTTCAACATGCCCCTCTAAGAGACAAGAATACTCTTGATTTAAATGGAAGTCCTGACAATTTCTGATTATTTAAATAGAGCAAGATTATTTGTTTTGGGATATAAGAAAACTTTCCAGTAGGTACCTAAAAGTGTTGAAATTATAAGATTGTAAATTACAAGTAGTCCTTGACTTACATCTAGTAACTGTTTAAAGTTACAATGGCACTGAAAAAAGTGACATGACCATTTTTCACATTTACAATTGCTGCACCCGCTGGTCATGTGATCAAAATTTGGACACTTGGCAACGGATTCATATTTATGATGGTTGCAATGTCCCAGGGTCATGTGAGCACCTTTTCCAACATTCTGACAAGCAAAGTCAATGAGAAGGCCAGATTCACCTAACAACTGTGGCAAGAATGGTCATATAATGGGGCAAAAATTCACTTAATGTCTTGCCTAGCAACAAAAATGTGGATCTCCATTGTGACCCTATGTCAAGGATTACCTGTATTGTATTTTGGGTTTTTTAAAGGTATTATTGGGGCTTCTTAAATTTGCATTCCTTGTTTTTATATTTTTTATCTATTGTTTTAGCTACCCAGAATTGCCTCAGTGAGATGGGCAGCTATATATATTTGATTAATAAAATTATTTTATTAATTAAATGTCAGATTGTAGAAAATATCCCCATGTAGCCAAAAAAAGTTGAACCATGCCAATCATGCTACATTCAATAGCTTTAAGCCATCCCTGCTGTATGTTTGGAGGGTTTTTAGTAGAGTTTTATAAAATATTATTTAGTTCTATTTATGTTTATGTAGCTAACTCTAAATTTAAAATCTATTTCAGTGTTTATACAGAAATAGAGACATTCCATAATATAAATTACATTTCACATTACATTTAGTTTTTCAAAATTAGTAGTAAACACATAAATATCTAAGAAATTCTGAAATATCTCCTTTAAAATCTGAACACTTTATACTCCAGTATTAAGCTTATTTGTAATTCCAGTTGTTGGCTTAATTATAGTCCAGTTTGTACAAAGATAATTGGAACTTTATTAAATGAGTCTGAACATCAGAAACAAGAAAAAGAAATGCCCCTTAGGACTGATGACATAACCCATTAAGTTCCCCATCCATCCCTTTTTATTTCTTAACATTTACCAGAGTCTACCACGTTAATCCTTTTGGTGCTTTAGACTTATTTTTTCCTTTGACACGTTTTGCCTTTAGCTTTTTTCTCTGTCTGGGATTCATCCATACTGGATATTGTCCATGTTGATCCAGAAGAGTTTTCTGATTTCTTTTAGCATCCATGTCCATCTTATTTCCATCTAGCAAAACACACACACACAAAGAAGTAAATTGCTATTATCACCTGAACATAGTAGACTTAAAAGTGAATAAAAAAGAAACTGTAGGAATAAAGTAGCAGCATAAATTATTCTAATACTGATAGAGTGAAGAACAACCAGTCAGAAATGAGGAAGGCACTACAAGCACATGTATGCTTGCACTATGATGGTTTTTAAAAAGAGTTTCAAATTTATTAGTATAGTCTTTTTTTGGAAAAAAATATTAGTTATTGAGAAACAGCCAAGTGAAAAGATCATTCTGATTACAATGTTTCCCTATTGCTTTCCACTGTCAATCTTCAAAAGAATATGTACCAGTCCCACAGGTCATCCTCATACACTCCTTCCATCTTATTTTCATTAACACCATTGTTCTTCAACTCTCAGAATTTCCAGTTAGCCAAACTTTTGCTAGGACATGTTTAATGCCTAAATAAGATAGACACATAACATAGCCTATTTCTGCTCTATCAACTCACAGAAGCAGTTTCATCTATATGGTGATATTAGACGATTTTTTTTTAAAGGGAAGATTTACATAGCCAAGGGAAATATGAGAAAAACCAAAAGAATGAATACAGAACAGTATCAGGTGACGGATATACAGTACCATGATTCCAATTTTTCAGAGCCTGTTTGTTGCAAATCTCAGAACAATGCCTCCCAGTCTAAGCAATTTTTAGACCCGTGCATTAACTCCCAGAATTCTCTGCAATGTCTATGCTGGATAGAGAATTCTTGAATTAGAGACAACACATCTGCAAGTTGCCCAGACTGGGAAACTTTGCTTTAGAGCCATACCTAGCAATAATATAACTCACCATCTGAATCCTTTTTCTCTAAGATTTTCTCAGCAGCAACCACAGTTACGACTTCCCTCACTTCATCCATTACAACATCACTGTTGGTTTTCAGAATGCTCTGCAATCTGGCCAGTTCCTTGGGAGCATTTTTTTTCCTCTTCTCCGCTCGCATTTTTCTCTTCCATTTGCTCCTTAGGCTTTTTGCCATTTCTGTTTGCTTCTATAAACGGGAAAATAATGCATAACACCAGTATGACAAAACAGAACAGAAGCTCCTGGGCTTGTGTAAACCTAAACTTGTGGCTCCCCACAAAAGCCAACTACAATGACAGTATCTTCTATTTGTGCATAAGATTAAAATATATTTCTTCAGAAACGTTCTTCAAGAGCAATTTCCATCTTGTTTAAAACAGATTTCGGCTTAGTTCATAAACAAATTTGAATCGATGGCTCCTTACTTCTAAATAATATTTTCCTGCTTTTCAAAGCTACACAAAATCCCAGAAATACAAAACATGTACAAATATTCCTGAACTTCCCCCACAGCAGAGGCAATCTATAGTAAAACTTCCAATGAGCCACCAAGGCTCATTTGTTCTTCTAAACTGTGGCAATTCTGAGCAGTCTAGTTAAAATCACGAGCATTACACTTAGGATAACAAGGTGAAATATGAGTTGCCCCACATCCAAGGATTCCTGCTATCTTATCAAGATGAGCCATGGCCACCAAGCTGGTCTTTTTCTTCTGGGCCAATGTGTCAAATCTAATTAGTCTTTGCGCAGGAAAACCCCAGGGCTGTTGGTTAGCCGAAGAGCTGAACCGACATCCAAGACCAAGCAACCTCTGCGGTGCTGTTGCCAAGACTACCTGCCGGACTTTTTCAGCAATGGTCCGAAGTTGAAACAAACTCGGGAGACTTATGGCAGGACCTGGGAAGCCTGGCCTCGAAATACAGCAGCTGCTCTACAAATGACTTCCCCGAGCCCTTCCCCCGGTACCTGAGCACGCGGTGCTATATATCTCTCCACTCCCCGCTTCCACCGGACGTGAGTGCAACAAACGTCTCCCCACCCCCCCACCGCGCTTCTTCCGGAATTGAAAGGCTTTGGCTTCCACGAGGAAACGGGCAATGGAAGACGGGATGTCGCTTTCCAAGAAGTCGCGTCTCCTCGCGCTGGCCCACAGAGCCCTCTTGCGAGCTCCCCCGGTACTGCTACGGCCAGGGGAGGACCGGTTCTCGGGGCTTTTTTGGATTGTTACAGCGGGCGTCTTTTCTTCTCCTGGCACACCTAACGAGATTTAGGCGCAGTTCCTCGAGCAATATTCCCTTCCTGCTTTAGCAACGCCGTCAGGTAATAACCAGGGAGGTTACTCAGCTCACCTCGAGAGGAAAAATACAATCAGAGGCCAGAATCAGAGTGAGTTGGCAAGAGGGGGGTCCCAAAGTTACATCAACCTCGGGTAAATGAAAAACAGTGATGGCCATGCTCAATTTCTGGGCAAAACTCAGACTTTATGCTAGCATCTGGAGATTCTGGTGGTACATTTGGAAATTATATCTGTATTTATGGTATTTAATAGCTCACATCTATAAATGAATGTGTTAAGGTTTCATAGTATTTTTAATTTTTTTAAAAAAATTAGAGTATTTCTATGATGCCCAGTCCTTAACATCTCACAGACAACCAATAAATTCACAGATGTTTTTTTTATGAATTCAGCAAAGTCCCTGTTCTGCCATTGCTGGATGAGATATAATTTGTGAACATCTCTGAGGGCTATTACAAATTATTAAAATCATAAAACAAGGTCTTTTGTCATCAAGATGCAACTGTTGATTCAATCAAAGTTGATTAAAAAAGACATGTAGCATGTAGCATGACTGACCAGATCAAAATAACTGTAACCTGAGCTTATAGGTTTTTTTGGAAACTAAGCTAACTTAAATAAACCCAAGGATGTCACAATAATTTTTTGGGGAAGCTAAACTAACAGATAAATTCTACTATGTCACACAATTCTTTGGGAAGCTAAGGTAATATAAGCAAGTTCTATTTTATTACAATAATTTCCTGTAACTTTAAAGTTTTTGTATATAGGTGTTTTGTACCTAAGTATTATGAACTGGGACTCTATAATTAAAAGTTGAACTCTGAATACAGATTTTGAATAAACACTTGAAACAATTTTTAATTTTGGAATTTTAATAACAGGCTGAAATTATAAAAATAAAATGGGATGACACTGATAAAAAATATCAGCAGAGATCTCTGAGATTACACTTACATAATACAACTTTCTGCTTAACGCTGACAAAAATTATCTACAAGTCTTAACAATAGAAAGCAAAGAAACAGAGAAAAGGGATCACATAATGAACATTTTATTAAAATGTATTTATTTTATAAGTGTCTAATCACCTGCCAGAATAGCAGATGAAATCTAACTAACTTTGCTATTGCTTCAGTTGAAGGGCCATCTAATAAATATTCTTCTGCATAAAAACATTTCACCCCTTACAACCATTAGTGAAAAGGTCCTAAGAATGGACTCAAAAAAGTTTCAGACTCTTTCCACATTCTAAAAAGGTTATAGAGAAAACATTATATGATATTTCTGAACTAAACTTTCAGAATAAAGACTACTGCCAGCCAATTCTTTTTATGTTTACTTTAACATATGATACATCTTAGGAATCCTTCCCATAAGAGATTATTTTTCCCCAAAGGTTATTTTTCCCCATACAACATACTTGGAAGTACAGATATTTATTAGAAAAAGACTACTGCCAGCCAATTCTTTTTATGTTTACTTTAACATATGATACATCTTAGGAATCCTTCCCATAAGAGATTACTTTTCCCCAAAGGTTATTTTTCCCCATACAACATACTTGGAAGTACAGATATTTATTAGAAAAAGCAAAATGATGTAGGATCAGTTCTTCAAATAAAAATGAGCATATTTTTTTTGTAAAAGAAGACAAACAATAGAATTTTAGCTTATTTAAAGTTTCAGTGTTCAATAGTGAAATCAAGGAGATGTATGCTATCGAACCAGCAACAATTGTGACTCTCAAAGGACACATCTGTGACAATTACTGCAGGAATAAAATAGAATTTTAATTGTACTTATTGGCACAAATGAGTTGATGAGCAAGTCTTTCAATCAATACTAATATGCATAGATGGAGGAAGCCTTTGCCAAACAGCCAAGATGCCTGCAGTATATAATTAACTGATCTCAGAATAGATTCAGTAAGAATCGCCTCTCTAAAATAGTTTATACAGAAAACACTGAAGCCAGCACAGAATGTAAAACCAAGTTTCAGTGTCAAAGTAGACTGCGGATTTTCTAGGTCTTAATTAACTCTTTAGATACTGCGTATAAATTATCTCAAATTTGAATTAAAACTCCCAATTACTTTTTATTAAATGCTTCTAGCAAACGGAGCAGGTGCAAAAACAGATTGATGATGTCCAAATAAAGATTGATTGCAGCCAGTATATATTCTTCCGGAGAGAGTTTGTGCATTAATAGATGAGTGTCGTAGATGATAAATCCACAGAACAGAAGCGCTCCTGCAGCAGCAAATACCAGCTCTATTACTTCATTATTGAAAAATAACTAGAAACAAGGAGCAGATAAATGCAGATTTAATGTATTTTTTTAATACAAAAGCATATTAAAAATTAGTTATCTGTAATATAAACTTTAAAAACAGTTTTTAATGAAGAAGTTGAGTATAATTAATATTTTCTAGATTGTAGATAAGGTCATTCCTATGACTTCCCCTGTTACCAGCAAAATAAGATCTTGTCATATCCTATGATTGTCTGTGGTTTCCTAAAGCAACAGATCTAACTTCAGTTCAAATTAGATAAATCTTTAAATTTCAGTGCAACTGCATTTTCTCATTTAATGTATATGGGCATCACTTTGGATGAATAAAATCAACCACACTGAGAATACTGTGTTTCTAAAGGGCTTCTCATGCTGTAACTCTTTTAAAGAGTAATTGGGTGTTTTCTCACTATAGTATTGCTAACAAAATAGTCAATCTGAAAAATACTTTAATGAACTCTTCAAGAAATTGTATTAGACCACCTGGATTCTGCACTGTGAGGAAATCTGAGAGCTTCCCCCCCTCCCCTTCTTTCAGAGATTTACTATGTTATTATTAAACTATAACTTATTTGTCAGTATATTTTGTGTCACCATCTCTGACAAAATGCACTCCAGCTTTTTAAACTGTATTGGCATACAGTTGTTTTCCCATTTTACTATGAACCACATCTTCAAAGTTATATGGACACAAATATGACAATCTCTCAGCTGCTGGGGCCATTTCCAGCATAATTTTTATATATTTATTCAGTATAGCTTTCTCGAAGGAAGTTTGTAGAGGACTGCAATCATACCCTCTGTTCATTAGACACAGTCCTAGGAACAGCAACAAATAATTGTAAGTGGGCACCTGCATAGCAGTTTATCAAGCTGACTCAGGATTAATGAATGTATGCCTGAACTGCAGAAACTATGGTTAAACAAAGATTTACAGATCATGACATCTACTGATCATCATTACTGGACTGGCAAGCCTCAAAATGAGGAAAGCTCCTTTATTTTAGCGATCAAAATCCAATAACAGAATATTAAAAGAAGGCCTCTGAGTTACAAATATTGGCATCTTTGTGATTTCTGTAGAATATTATTTTTATGTAAAATTATTTGAATCAAGATGTTATGTTTGAGAGTGTAATGTTGAGATTCTTCAAGTTTGTGGAGCAAAAATTAAAATAAAAGATAAAAGCATTAAAAGATAAAAGCAGTTTAAATTTGATCTTAATAGTAAGCATTTATTTAAAAACTCTTAACTTCAACTTCGTTCCAGTTTTCATTAATAAGTTGCATGTTCATAATTCTAATATGACTTGCATTGAAAAAGAACACAATTATCAGTTTAAAAAATCAAGCGTTTAAAATGGGAGTTAGTTCCTAATTGATCTATTTAAAAAAGTTAGCATCCTATGGAGACCTCCAAAATTTTAATTATCTAAAATATCATCTTACCTTTAAAAAGCTTGCCAGAAGAAGAATCCATAAGCAAGTAAAGAGCCTAAAAAAGCACAGACATTATTTGTAATATGCTTTTAATTTAGTCCTTTAAAAATGCAGATACACATATTTCCTATATATTAAATACAAAAATCACATATTGAAATAATTATCAGCCATTTCTCTTTTACTTATTCACAAAGCACACTTGTAAATTCCCTGCCTTCGTTCTTTTGCTGCAATCACAATATATCAACAAATCTTAAAATACCAGAAATAATCAAATTAATGCTAGAAGAAAAAGAAAACATTGATGGAATTAACAGAAGCATTAAATAGACAAAACAATGGGAAAGCATCTGGCCCCCGACGGGCTACCAGCAGAATTATATAAAACATTACAGGACTCTCTTTCTAATACAATGTTGGAAGTATTAAAGAAAATGAAAGTACCTAACTTTTGGACAGAGGCTTACATTACACTCATACCGAAATAAGATTCTAATTTGCAAGAGATAAAAAACTATAGACAGATATCTTTATTGAACGTGGATTAATAATACCAAGAGTGCTATATTTGTCCCAAACAATTCCAATAAAATTGGAGAAAAAATATTTTGATGACCTAAATAAAATAATATTAAAATATATATGGTAAGGGGAAAAAAGCAAGGATCAAATTAACATTGTTACAGGATGGAAGAACCAGAGGAGATGTGAATGAAAGAGTGGATTATATTAAGAAATACAAGGCTATTGACATTGGAGGGGCATGATTTACAATTGGGTTGGCACGCTTGTTTATGGTATGGGAAAAATAAGATACACGGTTACTTTCAAAGATATTATGCAAGAAATGCTTTATTGTCAATATGGGATAAAATAAGGGAACAACATTATATGAAGATACCAGTCTGGCTATCTATGATGGAGGCATTTATATATCCAAATGTTTTTAAAATGGGAAATATTGTTAGTTATAAAGAAATTTTAAATGAAAGGGGTAAACTCAAAACAAAGCAAGAACTGAATGAATGAGGGATTGATATGAATTGGTACTTATATATGCAAATACATTCTAGATATGAAAAAAGATCTCAAAGCAGAAGGGTTTTATAATGAATTGACAGAATTAGATAAAATCCTAACAGGAACAGAAGAAAAGATGATTAAGAAATTGTATAGCTATTTATTAGGAATGAAATTAGAACAAGTGAAGCTTGGGGGAAAAACTTTGGCTATGGGATAGAATTAGATAAAAGGCAGAAACTATGGGATATAAATTATAAACTAATAATGTCAACAGCATATAAAGAAAATCTGTATAAAATTGTTTTATAGATGGCATGTTGCACCAGCAAGACTGGCAAAGATGTTTAGATAAATCAGCTAAACATGGGAAATGTCACCAGACACTGGGAACATGTACAGAAGCTAAAATATATTGGACAAAAATACACACATGGTTGGAAAAGATGATAAAACAATGCATAGACTTAAAACCTGAGATATTTTTATTGGGAAAATTATAGTAAAGAAAAACATATTTAATCATACACATATTTACAGCAGCTAAATTGTATTTGCTCAAAATTGGAAAAATGAAAAGATTCCAATAGAGGAATGTGCTGAAATGAATAGATTAACATTGGCAAGTAACAAGAAGAAGTGGAATATTATATGATATGGGATTTATTTTATAAATGATCGGAAAATGCAAGAAGTTAAATGAATATTGTTATAATGATAAGATATATAAGGTTGAGTAGCTTTTAATATGAATGTAGTCATGTATACTAAACATAAATATTTGCACAAGATATATGTACTCAGTTGACACACTGTATAACTGAAAGATGGATTTGTTGTAAAATAAAATAATATTTAAAAAAAACAAATCTTAAAAGAAGACATCATCACTGATTATTATTCCAGTAAGAGGGTCACTCAAAATGCCCAAATGCCAATGTAAGTAACAGAAACTAGCTTACCCCGCTCCAGCTTTGCTGAAATCCCGTTTGGACTGCAATGTGTACACAGTAAGAGCCAAAAATACAGCTGTTGTCAGAATAAAGGCTTGTAACACAACTGATACTTCATAGAAAGTCACTAGCAATGAGGGAAAAACAAATAACTTTAATCAATATGGAGAATTTTTGATGCAATTGCTTTGTCTTAGCTGGATCATATTTTTCATACATAAAACCATACAGTAATTCTAAAATCTGGTATAACTTTTCACAGGCCAAGGACATGTGAATGACAAGTAATAAGCTGTATAATTTTTAAAATACAGATTTTGTTCTATTAATATTTCATAACAGAAGGGAGGGGGGGAGAATGGGACACAAGGTAACAACACAGAGACGAATGTATTCCTGATTTCTTTTTACTCCAAAAGAAATTAAATCTGGATTTAGTCATATGTTTTCTTATTGTAAGAAAAAGGAAGAGGTTTGAGTCGCTTTGGAAAATGGCTGGAGGCTTTCTCTCTTCAACCTTTGAGTGCAAGGGCATCATTATTCATCTTCCTCATTTCTAGACTGAATTATGACACAAATAATTCATGCATTTCAAGATATGTATAGCCTTCAAGCCAATATAGACCTGTTACTGACAGTACCAGGTTTTTCTAATAGAGGGGCCATGGAAATAAATAGCCATTGTTAGCCATTTATCTTGGGATGATATGTCTCCTTTCACTCTAATGGTCTTCAGAAACAGCCTATAAGTACTTTGAAATAACACTGCTCCTTTCTTGCTTGACACTTGTTGGGTTAAGGGAGAAACATTCTCTATCCACAAGTATAATTTTGTCAGCCCCGAGGGCAGAGGTGGGGAATGATGGTTCCTTTATGACTTGTGGAGTTCAACTCCCAGAATTCCTGAGTTAGCATGCACTCTACAAGAGTTGCTTCCCAGATTATAAGAATATAAGCAACTGTTGTATAAATAATTCGTAGCTGCACCCTACTTCTTTATCAGAAAACTTCTGGTGTACAGTGAGGCTATGAAGAAAAAGCTACTGCTTTTATCTTATTAAGATTGTTAAAGAAATTTCTCACTGGGCTTGGAAAAATATACTTTCAGTTCAGGCAGCTACCAAAGGTCTGATGCTGTTAATCAAAATGATAAACTTTACCTGTAATAGCAACAGTCACTGCTTCTAAAAAAGTCTATAAGAAATAAAGAAAAAAGAGTATCACTCAACTAATTAAACCTTAATAGCAAAAGTACAGAAATTTGTATAGACAAGAGCTATATCATTAGACTTATTAAATTGGGCCCCATGTATATGACGGGGTGGGAGTGTCTTATACTAAGGAGTATTGGACTTTCTTCACTTATCCTTTCCTTTGCCTCAATAAAATGGAGAAATGTTATGTGTACACAGCCTACATGTTACTTACCACTCTAAGTTAATAGCCCTCAAAACTCCAAGTAATATACTGTCAGAATACTTGATAATCTGTGATAATCTTTGCAAACTCAGCTTTTCTCTTTTTATAATCAGAAAGACATACACTGTATATTAAAAGTTTTGTGTACTTTCTACAATTTTTTATCATTTCCTCTAAAAGTAACAGTTGAAAATTCAGATCTCGTATGTTGTTGGATCACTGCATCATCCCACAGAACCTATTGACCACTGCAAATTACACACAGACATACCTTTGAAAGCAAGCATTTTCACATCATTGTCAACCACTCTATTTATACTGATATGATCAGCCAGTTTCCAAACAAAAGAGGTCAGCTACCTTTGTCTCTAAAATATTTTTTCTGATACATGCAAACTTACTCTGCTATGCACATTAAAAAGCTTTTCAAGAGGAAATTGTATGTATCATTTTCAAAGGGACAGCATATGTTCCACAGATGTTTACCAGTACTAAAATGCTTTTCCATATATATGTATGAATATATGTATGTATGTATGTATGATGTATTAATAGAAGAACTACTAGAAGTACAAAGGTAAAACAAAAAAACTCATGTGGAAAAAAATCAGAAATATACAATAAAATATTCACCTCACTAAATTAACTGCAATTACCAAAGAGAGAGAGTGAGTCATGCATTATACTTACAAATCCAAAGAGAAGATATAAATTAACTGGATACTGATGTCTATATAGAGTTAAAGCCACAATCAGAGCCAAAGAACCAAGCAAGGCCATCAAAAGTAAAGCAGGACTGTAAATTTAAGTATGACAACATAATTAATATTAGGAAATAATATTCTAATCTCTTTTGTTTTCCCCAATATAACGTATAAAACAATCTTATTGATATTTAAAATACTTCAGTAAGTATTAAAACACCTTCGTTAGTCAAACTGAATCACATCTATGGCAGGTTATCAATATTTCAAATATTAGAAGAGTGATGAGATACCTACAGATGTGAATGAGATTAGGAAAATATTAGAATGTGCAGAAATAAACAGATTAACATTGGCAATTAAGGAGAAAGAACAAACTGAATATATTATATGATATGGGATCTATTTTATCAGTGGTTAAATAATAAAAATGGAAGTTAGAAAAGGAAACAAAATAAAGATATGTTAAAAGAGATAAGCAAATATTATTAGTATGTGGAACATTACTATTTTAATATTGTAGAATTAATATCAATGTTGCAAATTTTGATTATTGTTCAACAAAGACATTTGTACCCAGACAACACACTGTTTCAACTGAAGATGGAATTATATTAACAATAAAAATTTTATAAAAAAAAAATTCAAATATTTAAACTCTTTTTAAATATACATATTCACAATAGCAATTTATTTCTGGGTGATGATGCTAGTTACTGGATGATTATATTTGCTTCAGATTAGTTGCTCCATTCAAACTAAATGGAGAACATGCTACTTACTGGCAAGGAGGGGAAAAAAAGGGTATTATTAAAGGTAGGAGCAAAACCAAATTTTTGCTTCCATGGCTAAGTAATATTAGGCCTTACAAGCAAATTTTCATGCCCACAGATAGTGGAATCCTTATACATTTTCTCTCCCAAGCAAATGGTGTAATTTACTTAACAATAAATTTTCCCCAGTAACTCTGTTCAGATGGAACAAGTATCTTCTGTTTCCTACCCTCCCCTACCCCCACTCTCAGTGAACATATTTCTCGAAACAATTCTCCAAACCAGGGTTTTTCAACTTTTGCAACTTGTAAGATGTTGGCTTGGAATCTTGGAGCTCAACTCCAGACATTTTAAAGTGGCCAAGGTTGAGAAACAGCTCTAGACTGCCTTGCAGAATCATAAAATATAAAAAGGCACTGGATTTGTATTTATTTTGTATTAAAAATGAAGCAAATTCAATCATTCACTTACTACAGATCATACCTTTCATGTACAAATGTCCGAATTGTGGTGGAATAGAGGAAAGCTGCTGAGGTCACAGTTGTCAACAAAATCTGAACTGAAAGTATACTATAGACTTTGCGCAGAAAAGCTAAAATACAGAAAATAAGCAGTTCATTATTATTTTCAAGATTTATGCTGAAATAAAATACCTACACTTTGTTCTTCTTTATTTTTACATTTCATTTAATCTTTAGCTTTTTAATGGTATCCATTACAATAAACGCTGAATCATCAGGGGATTCATCATATTACTATGACCTTACAGTTGTTTATCACCCAAAAAACCAATATATTGTGGTGACTACATGATAAAAATCCCCCAGAGCCATGCATGTAGAATTCTTGATCAAGGATGGTCTCCACTATTGCTCTATTAAAAACGGATTTAAAACCCTTGCAATGTTGTTCACACCACACAACTCTTCCCATAGCAAGATGTTCATTGTAGATTAGAAAATCATCATCTGATTTGTTCTACCTTTGCTAAAGGAGAGTAATGTTTCATCTGTAAAGGAAAGCATCTGGAACGTGGAAGCCAAAATCACTTTTCTGATAAGCAAGTACCATCGAAAAAACTATAATCACAAAGTGTGTCATTCTACTCCTCCCCCGCATGCCCTCGCGTTCTGGGACTGCATTCCCTCTTCGAGAAAAGGCCTGGTAAGATCTATGGTTGCTACGTTTTCCGACGAGCACTGTCACTTTAGGGTAATGTCAGGGCCCTAAAGCGAACACTATAGGCAATATAGCCTGGAGCGAAGACTGTTTACAAACGGCGATAATGTCGTCTTGGAAGGCCAGGGGAAGGAAGGTTTTAAGCTAAGAGGGAGAAAAGGAAGCTTCAATGGGAAGTGGCGAAGGCGACGACTTCGGAATGGAAAGGGGAAAAGGCGAGGGGTGAGAGAGGGCTGACCAGGACTCTTTACCCAAGCGGATGTGTACGCTAGCCGTCGCGACGTTAGTGCCATAATTGAAGTCGTCCTCAATGGACGACCTCGGATAACTCTCCTCAGCCATCATCGCAGCCGCTCTCCGTCCCGGAACTTCCGCGTCTGCGCTTCCAAATCGGGGGCCGAAGGGCGTCGCTCGCAACTTCCGGTTTGTACTTGCTCAAACTGGAGCGGTCGTGGTCTCGTAATTCCCAACGGTGATGTCATCGCCAGCCAATGGTTGCGTTTTAAGGCGGGAAGAGCGCTGAGCGCCTTGATTTTTCAAGTTGGTGATGTTAAAGCTTCGCGGTCTGGTTTCAGGTGGTCTCCTTCGCCCACTTGCTGCCCTAGCATTCAGCTAGCCTTTTTTCATGGCTGCTGGCGGGAATCTGCCCCTTGAGTTTTACATTGTTAGGTTTAAAACAGTGGCTACTTTCTGGAGGAACAGTCCTAGGCTGGGTTTATAGAGGACTAAGAATATTCTGGCCTCGAGATAGCTTCCCTCGAACCTCTGAAAGGTTAACAATATACTGGCAAAGTACAGTAGGATTTTGTTTGTGTGTGTGAGAGAGAGAGACAGAGACAGTTTGCATGCAGTGAAGCATGCATATTTGCTTCCCCGTGAGATTAATCCTAGACTCAAACTGCAGCCCAGCTTTCTTAAAAGAAACAGCAAGATTTATTTCTGAATAACCCAATTTAGGGAACAAAAGAAAAACTGAATCTCCATCAGATCGTACTGGCCCCTTCACAATAAACCATTAAATGTCATGCAACCCCGATATTTTATTTTATTTTTACCGTGGATTAGTCTGGGTTTTTTTTCTTCTGCTAGTCAGTTCTGAATATAAATTATGGCTTCCTGGTATTATGAATCAAGTGATGTCTACCCACTGTTACTGAGCTAGCTCTTCAGCTGTTAAAATCTCAACCTACATTGAGGTTAACTTTCAGCGATCTTAGTCCTGTTAGTATTACATTTATTTGCCTCCTATCTTGCAATTTGAGGTGGCTCTGACCGCCTTAGAGAAAATACGCATTGTGCTCAACTTACAACATTTTGTTTAGTAACCATTCAAAGTTACAATGGCTCTGAAAAAAGTGACTTCCGACCATTTTTCACACAATCTCATTGCAATGTCCCCATGGTCTTGTGATCAAAATTCTGATCCTTACGCTTGACTCATATTTACAACAGTTGAGGTATCCTGGGGTCATGTGATCACCTTTTGCACCCTCCTGACAAGCAAAATCAATGGGAAAGCCAGATTGATTTAACAAATATGTTACTAACCTAACAACTGCAACAACAATTCATTTAACAACTCTGGCAATAAAGGTTGTAAGAAAAACTACTACTCAGCAACAGAAAATTTGGACTAAATTATGGTTGTAAATTGAGGACTACCAGTAGACAAAAATCCAAACAATTATAAATATAAAAACTGATTAAAAATACAAAAAAACCCAAACTAAAAATATGGATTTGGAGTGGAGACTTGGAGGTGCCTTCTGTGTTAGTACACCAACCAACTCTAGCCAACACCTTTTTCTTCAAGATCCCATGCCAGTAGGCATAGCCAGGTTTTAAGGCTTTTCCTGAAGGCTAAAGGAGAAGGAGCGGCTCTTATGGAAAGATGTTCCAAAGAGTAGGAGCCATGGCAGAAAAGGCTCTTCTCCTGGATCCCACAAACCAAAATTCCTTGGCTGATGGAATCCCCAGTTGGCCCCCTTTCTGCCAGCATGAGTCCTCAAATATACAAAAGAACCAGACTTTCCCAGCAGACTGTTGACCAACTGACTGATTTCAATCTAAGTCAAGATTGGGAGCAGAAGACAATCAAATTACAGACAACCCAAAGAGATGGAGTAAAATTGGCAAGAGTTTTTGAACACAACTAAGAAATTATTATCTGTCCCATCCTGCAATGATTAGTGTTGGATCAAAAAAATTTCCTTCTGGGTTCAGTTCCAAGTGGGGAAAAAGACAGTGGAATCATGGAAGTTGCTTGGAAAGGAGGTTTATTGATGAACAGGATCACATGCCTTAGAGATGTTGGTCGAAGAAAAGGGAAGAGATGCTGAGAGTCCCTGGGTTTTATACCCTCTCTGCTTTGAATTTTCTGGGGCACAGGAAGTGCATCCTGATTGGTTGCTGTCAGAGGTCATATCTAGCTTTGTAGTTGTCTGTATGCTAAGTTTGGTTGAAACTTGGTGGGTGGTGCAATGAAGGGCAATTAAATGGCTCTGCCTGAAGGAGGTAGATCTTTGTTATGTAGAATAGATTGACCCAGCCTTTAATGACTCATTAACAAAGGGGGGGGAGGTGAGTTTCTGCCTCTCTGAGTTTCTATTTCTCTTTTAGGGGAAATATTCTGGCTTTTTAATATATCCTAAAATACTTCATTTTTCTAGGAGAGGGGTAGGTTTTAACTTCCAACGAGAGCAAAACAATATTTTTGCATCTTTGAGCCACTTGTTTGTATAGAACCTTTCCCCATAAAGCAGAATTATGAAACCTGGGCTGCAAAAATCTGAAAAATCACAGGCAGCAAGAAGATATAACAAGTTTTACACATCTAGTTCTCATATTTGTATTTTAGGGCAAGTTGCAGGGCTTCAAAACTGACAATGTAAGATGACAGAATAATGTTTGCTTAAGACTTTAACAGAAGAAATTACATGAACAGTTTTGATACTTCATGAAAATTCACAATGCATTTTTCAGAGAAAGTAAAAAGAATTCCATAATTCCTCTACAGAAAGCGTGAAGTCTACAAGCAGGACATAATTTTACACTGAAAGATTACTTATTGATGACTAGCAAGAAACCAGACCAAAAACTCTCTGTAATCTGAATATGTAACAAGCTATTTGTTTCTGTATATGTATAGTATAATATATGTATTGCTACTGTAAAATAGCATAAATAAACCATACATTCTTCAATGTATTTTGTTCTTATCATTTCCTAATACAAAGGAGAATCATATGTTCTGCATTCCAAGCTGAAGCTGGTTCTCCCTGATCTGTTCTTGACAGGTCACTACAACATTCATTTTTCCTAGTCTGTTAAATTCACATTTCTCTTCCAACATAAATATTCTTCTGAGACTGCTACTCAGGTTTTCTGTCTGAACAAGGTCAACAAGGTTATAGAGGTAAACTACTCTTCTTTGCCTAACTTTCCATGCTGAATGGGAAAGTCTGCCCTCTGTTCAATTTACTGGAATGTGACTATAGGTAGTTCTCGATTTACGACCACAATTGAGCCCAAAATTTCTGTTGTTAAACATTTGTTCAGTGAATTTTGTTCCATTTTATAACCTTTTTGCCACAGTTGTTAAGTGAATCACTGCAGTTGATTAAAATAGTCACCCGGTTAAGTGAATCTGTTTCCCTGTTGCCTTTGCTTGGCAGAAGGTCGCAAAAGTGGATCAAATGCAACCGTCATAAATATGAACTAGTCAACAAGCCTCTGAATTTTGATCACATGAGGCTGGCAAAGGTCATAATTGAAAAATGGTTATAAGTCACATTTTTCAGTGCCGTTATAACTTTGAACAGTCAAAGTGAACTGTTGTAAGTTGTGGACTATCTGTAATGGATTCTGTTGATTTCATGGGTCTGTTCTAAATATAAATATGTTTTGATTCAGTCTCCTTCTTGCTAACAAATTTCACATTCTGGATATGGATCAAAGCTATGGCTTTTCTTTTTAATAAATGTTTACAGTGAAATATGTATTTATTTCAGCACATATTGGGCAAAAAGATTTACATAAATTTCTGCATCAGGAAATATGATTGAAATAATTTTCTTAATGGTCATGCTAACCGAACGTACAATAATTTGATTTAAAAGCCTCAGTTTCAGTCACATGTCTTCATAAATAGTTCTGTAAGAGAATAAAATTTCAAAAGAAATAAGATTAGGTCAAATATTAATGGCTAGAAATTTCCTGATTAGTGCACTTACAGTTTTAAATTAAATAATTGTTTCTGCATATTTATTTTATATTTTATATATAGTTTATTTTCTGTATTTTAAGTATTAATAATATTAAGTATTATAAGTGTTATGTCCCTGGGACTCTCCACAGTCCCCACTCAGGTCCGCTCAAGTTGTGGGGGGGCGTTACTGCCTCCCCATTGGCTGACCACCCCAGCAGCCGGCTATATAAGCAGGCTGCGGGGTTCGGTTAGCCGCTGGTTGTTGCGAGCCCGTTCCAGGCTGGCGAGCTCATTCAGCCCTTTATTTCTAATAATAAAGTATTTGTTGCTTGCAATGCCCTGGCTAAGTCTCTCATTCCTCCGAACTTAACACTGGCGACGAGGATGGGATTCTTTCCAGAGGCATAACGCGACCGCTGAGTCACTAGCCGCTGATCCCAGCTAGAGAGAGAAAGCGATCAGCCGGCAACGAAAGCGAACTAGGGAAAGTGAGAAAAACGCTGTAGCCGTTTTGCTAGCCTGCAGCGAACGCTGAGCCGCAGCCAGAGAGAAAGCGGTCAGCGAACTAATGAAAGTGAGAGAAACGCCTGTAGCCGTTTTGCTAGCCTGCTACAGAAGGAAGTGTAGCGCTGCGAGTCGCAGCCGCTCATTCTAAAAGGCGCGAAATTCAAACGGCTGTCAGTTGAATTTCCCGTCTAGTAACAGCGCGGTGCTGTAAGCTGAAGTCAGGCGCGAAATTTAAAAAACGCTGCCAACGGCCGTTGCAGCCAAAACACCAGTAGTCCCAGAGAGAGAATTGAGAGTTGTAAAAACACCTCTCCAGAGCTGAAGTCACTAGCCTTTTGCTGGCACAAAAAACCTTTCCTGCTGCTACCCAGAGAGATTTTCTCAACAGGTCATCTAACGAGGATTTCATCATGAACTCCCACCCAGCCTTCCCATCGTTCAAACCGGATGAGGAGAAGTGGGAGTCATATAAGAATCGTTTTAATCATTACATCGATGCCATAGGGCTGGCTGATGCAGGGGAGCACCGGAAGAAATCATTTTTTCTGAGCTATTGCGGGGCCATCGTCTTCGACACTGCCACAGCCCTGGTAGCTCCACGTGAGTTAAGAAACGTCCCCTGGACCGAACTATTAGAAATCCTCACTAACCATTATTCTCCTAGACCCTCACAGATTGCCAGGAGGTTCACCTTCC